CAAAATCCTCACTTGTCCCATTTAGAAGTATTGTGGTATCATCTGAGGCAGTATGCGAAAATCTAACGGTGTATCACTGGAAAGTCTACCAAAGTCTATTATCAAACGTCTGCTGAACAAATATTTCAGTAGGAACTATCGGGAGCGCTGCCAACAATTCCAGCTTGTTTCGCATTGGCTACGAATATTGAAGCATAAACTGATGCCTCTGTACAACATGATTCATCAAAGCGCTCACTGCTATTTGCATCCCTAGAACTACAGCATATTTTGACAAGGTAGCTGTCATAGCAGAGTCATACCAGTTTGAACGGACGGGCAAACCGAGCGAGCCAGCTAGTCAATGGGAGGCGGACGTAACTGAGTTGATTGCTGTGGGCATAGGTTAGCCGACGTTCATGTGAGTTAATTATCGTTTGTTTAACTGAGTCAAAAGAAGAACCTCAAAGCCTCAGAAAGATCGTTAGTTATGGACGTGAGTGCATAACTTAAATCAAACAAGTTAGCTTGCCAAACGTGCTGTAATTGTTGCCGAGTTCACTTTGTTGAATAGACCCTTATCCCTGAAAGACTGAGTTCTGCAGCATGGTTTCAGAGTAGACAAAGGCAAACCACACCAGCAACTCTCGGATGCTTTTTAGATCACCAGCGTCTATTCAGATACCTACCCAATTGAACATGGATGAACGGGAGTTGGCAGGTAATTGGCGTCTATGGAGGAGCAACTGGTTGGATTTCTGCACCTTAGTACGGTTAGGCGAATAACCGTTGGCGTATCGCTTGGCCATTTTTCGACACGCAACCAGGGATGACATACGCCGTTTTTTAGCGATATTGCATTATGACAAAGGCGACGATCCCAATAACTTGGAAACGGTCAATGAAAAGTTCAGTGAATTTTGTGACCTATCAGCGCTATCTTTTCTTTTCGCGCAGCAGAGGCCCACACGAATCCGTCGACGTGTACAGCACTGAACTGAAGAGTTTGGCCCCCTCCTGTAATATTTTGTAAATGGTTGGGAGACAGTTTCATACGCGATCGGATGGTTCTAGGAATTAATGGTGAAAGTACGACAATGTGACTTTGCGACTACTCCACTTATCGCTGCAACAGTGCATCCATATCTGCAACACTGAGCCCTCAACAACCCATCAACACCAACAAATGACGCGTGCCACAGATGCAGAATTGTGTCTTGTCCGGAGGCGAAGAAGCAAAGTCTAATAACGAGAGACAGGATCTCTGCAAATTTTGCGCGCGCGACGCCCGAGCTCTCGTGAACGGTTTCCGGTCTGGGGACGGAACTGCTCCAAATGTAGAAAAAGGAAGCATTTTGCTTGTTGCTATCATTCAACAAACGTGTGCGCTCGTTCGTGACAAATCACCGGCAGATTCAGAACATTCAATTGACAACTTATCTGAGAGTGCCGCAAAAGTCTGTCTACGCGACTATGTTGACCGGAGGCAAAGCCGTAGGATTCCAGTTAGACACGGGAGCTACTGTCAACATTCTGCCAAGGAAGTAATGTTCCGGGGTGTGCATTCGACCCGATCAAGATTGCCTGCGCATGTGGAATGGCTCCAGTCTTATTCCGAAGGGTTCAGCTACAAGCGAAGTGGTTAACCCAAGGGACGGAGCATCAGATCGACTGGAGTTTGTGGTCGGAGATGAAGGGCTCATGCCGACACTCGGCTTTGATTCGGTCCAGTGTTTCGGTTTTGTTGTTTGTAATCCTGCTCATTTCGTGTATGCTTGTAAGGGAGAAACCGATATTAGCGACCAGTTTCCGTCTGTGTTTAGCCCGGGTTTGGGAAATACTGAGTGAATCGCTCACTTATTTTTAGATCCTATGATACGACTGACAGCGCTACCAGCTAGAAGAGTTCCATTTGCATTGCGTGACAGGTTCCGCGCTGAGTTGAACAAATTAATGATAGAGGGTGTGATTGACATAGGTGAAGAACCAACCGAAAGCGTTAGTCAGGTCGCAATCATTATGAGTGAGGCGGGCAAACTGAGCGTGTGTATTGACTCGAAACCGTTGTATCAGGCCCTGCGTAGACAGCATTATGCGCTACCTACCCTACCGTAGAAGACATCTTGCGCGCCTAGCCAAAGCTAAATATTTCACGAAGGTAGGCCGGTCTTCCATATTGCTGCACGTGGTTTTAGATGACGAATCCGGTTTCCTAACTACATTTACAACACCGTTCGGGCGTTATCGCTGGCTGCGTTTACCGTTTGCTTTGAAGGCATCGAGTAAAATTTTCCAAAAACCATTGGTGCAATGGCTAGACGATTTACGATTGGGTGTAAAATGTGTGGCAGACAATGTTTAGTCTATGGCTCGAAGGAAGGAGAGCATGATGCTATTCTCCACCATTTCTTGCAGCATTGTGTGCAACAATCATCAAGCCTAAACGAGAAAAAGTTGCTCTTCGGGATGACGAGGTGATTTTCCATGGGCATGTGTTAACTACCGAAGGGATCCGGGTGGATGCAGGAAAAATCAAGGCAATATAAAAATGCCTCCTCCTAATGAAGTGAAGGGAACCCATCTCTTAAACAGTATGGTGTATTATTTGAGCCGTTTCATGCCTAGACTCGCTGATATCATGAAGATGATCAAGAAGTTAACTTCCAACGTAGTAAAGTGGAGTTGGGAAAGGGAACAAGAAATCGCATTCGAAACAATTAAACACCTCATCAGCAACGCGTCTGTACTCGATCCAGCGCAGCATCTGGAAGTACAATGTAACAGTAGCCAGGACGGAATAGTTGATGTCATCTTACAGATTGGAAAACCTTTGGATTTCCGCAGCCGAGCACTCACTGTGACCGAGCAGCGTTTTGCGCAGATTGAGAAAGGGCTGTTGGCGGTAGTCTATGCAATGGAGCCTTTCAACGATTATACTTCGGAGGCAAGACCACTGTGCATATCGACCACAAAGGGCTTATGTCGATAACCAGCAAACCGCTGCACATCCTTCCTCGTCGTCTTCATCGTCTGCTTATCCGACTTCAAAGGTACGACGTGTATATTGTATGCACCCCGGGTGCACAGATGTTCATCGCGGACACGCTGTCAAGTGCTCATCTGCCGGTACCCGCGCATAATCCAGAGGATAAATAGGCCGTAAACACAGTTCAAAATCTGGCAATGACGAAAGATCGTCTGAATGAAATAAGACGCCACAGAGAGGAAGAGGCAACTTTTGCAGCTTTGGGAGACGTTATTATAAATGGTTGGATGAACTCTCTGTCTATGATGGTTTGCTGTTCAACGGAAGCCATGTTCCGTTTCCGGCATTGCTCTGAAGAAATAAGCTGAAATACGTTCATCGCGCTCATTGTTAACCAAGCAAGTGAATTTAGCTTTTGGCCAGGAACGACGGGTGAAATCAGAGATCATGTATCCAATTGTAAGGCTTGCGGTTCACACGAAATCCGGCAGAGGAGGGAACCAATACTGCAGCATGATATCCCTGATCGATCGTGGCGGAAGGTGGCGGTGAAGTTATTCTGTGACAACGGGAAAGAGTATCTACTCACGATGAATTACTATAGCGATTATGTCGAAATCGATTTACCCACCACTATGACCACAGAAGCAGTAATCAGGAAGCTCAGATGTCCAATCGCGCTGCACGGAATACCAGAAGTGCTGATCTCCGACAATGGTCCTTAGTTTACTAGCGCTGCGTTCCAGGCGTCCGCAACCAAGTGGGAGTTCATGTTCCAGAAAACCAGCCCATATCACAACCAACCGATTGGAAAGACAGAGTCAGTAGTGAAGCAGGCCAAACGACTGTTATTAAAGGCTAGAACTACTGGAGAAAGCCCTACCTCATGCTACTGGAGAATCGCAACACGCCTTCAACGGACATCGGTTTGAGCCTAGTGCAACGCTTATAGAGTCGAAGGACTAGAATGCTGCCACACTTTTGTGCCCAGTTTCGCCACAGCATTAGCAGCTACAGAATAATCTTAGAAGACGACTGACGACCCAGAAACGATACTACAACCGCGGTCCACGGATGCTGCCTGAGTTGCCATTTGGCGGTGAAGTGTGTGTTTAACCAGCACCCGATGGTCAAGAGCAGTGGAAGAAAGGTGTGGTGACTGCGAAGGTAGGCGCAAGGCCATACAAAATAAATAAATAAATAAATACGAGATAAATAAAAAACGCTCAGCAGAAATCGAGTGCATTTGAAGTGACATCGAAGACAACAAGGTCGACTGGGAGAGGAGCTCCTGATGGGGGTGTGGCAAGGAGAAAATGACCGCAGATACCACGAAGATGACGCGGAGTCACAAGGTATATGGGGTGTATAAAAATATGGAGGCACAAGGACACGGAACAAGTGAGGATATGTGGGCGTGTCAGACCAGAGTGAACGGTGGGTCCCCAGGGATACTTCCCGATCCTCTGGATAATTACTTTAAACTAACTGTTAGGTCAGTGCGACACTTATCCGGATGCAGCTGCATTCCGATGCCTACTTCTGTCAAAATACTTCTTTCTACACAAACCAATTCTTGTATGAACCGGGCATTTAATATACTGGCCCATACACGTCATCCACTTTACAACACTTTAGCTGAATGTTTGTCAATGCAGTCCAGTACGCAGATGTACTAGTTAATATGTGCGCGCACATATGTAAACGGTTCGTCGGTAATCCTTTTATTCAAGTCCCTTTTTATGTTACCGATCTGTAATTTATATTTCTTTTGATATATTGCCGAGATCGTGCGTGTTCCACTTATATCTTGATTTGATGTTGATGCACTGCCTGGATCTTGGGCTTGCGACTGTATTTGCTTGATACTTGACTTCATGATCATCATGACATAAAGGCGCTTTTAATCACCTTGACATTTTGGTGTGTGCACGTAGTAAAGTGGTAATGTTGACTGGTCAAGCAAAGTACTTCTCATTGCATGACTCATGCAGCACGGGACATCGCGTTTTACTCACCAATTCCACACTCTTAGAGTCCGCAGTTTACATGGCTGCCCTCCTCTGGAACTGGATGTGGATTTGGCTCAGCGAGCGCAAGCGCACTGTGAGAAAATGGCGGCCAACAAGCTGATGCATCATCGTCTCGAATTCGGTCACGGGGAAAATCTGTGCATGTGGGAGGGGAATCATCCTATACAACTCAATGGTGAGTGGATTCACCTGTCTGTCAATGCCTTATTTTATGACTGGCAAGTGGTTGCCACTTACTCCGATTGTAGTATTTCCCAAATGAGTGCAGGTCGCTTTACTTCCATAAATCACTTCACTTATTAGAAGCACCGGTCTGGTGCCCAAGACGCTTGATACTGCAGTTAATCATGGTGACAAAAGGTTGCAAACAGACCTTGTAACCAGTGTAAAAAAACTCAATACTTACTGCCTCATCTCAACCTCCGTGTCATTTTAGCTATCTTGCGCTGCTAAATGAGTATGTCTACGCCAGCAGCTCTGATGCATTTTTGCTTTCACGTCTTAACTTGTCATTAATTATCTTAATGTACATCACGTTTTATTGCTTTTTACTCTGCGCATTTCATTTGAGAAGCAATATATGCTCTCAAAAGGCAGGTCTAATCAGGACAAGATATTCACACGTCTGCAATCGTTTAGCTGAAAATTTTCAGGCCTCATATGTCCTTCTCGACTAACCCAACTGTTGATTCATCCCCATTTGGTCGCTTCATGTTTGAGCAGCAAAGCTTGTACCAAATACGAAGCGACTTGCTAGTAAGCTGAATGCGAGTAGCCATACAGATGAATAGGCAACACAAGGAAGCACAAACAACAACGTTCTACACGTTTGCCAGATGTTGCTGGCGCGGTTCTCTGGTCTGTTGTCAACAGTTGAGCCTAGCGGCTAGTGATTCATTGCTCGATTTTCGTCTCTAACTGTAGATACAGAAGAAAGCAAGCGGTTTTTGCTGCACGCAACATTCCGCATTAATCCGCATCAGCAGAAGCATTTGTGATCGAATGTAGCAAGCTTCACTTCAGAGTTGAACGCGCTCACAGGCAATGCATACACAGCTAATTCAAGCAATTCAACGAGCCTTCAGTTGTTGTGACAAACTTTTCCTAGGAGCTTGACTTGCTATTGATGAAGGCAACTACCACGAAGTTCTATGTTTGGACCCTCAAACTTTGCTCGATTACCAGGAACTGAATGGTTCAACCGAAGAGGATACCGATTTTGGAAATCACTGCTAGGTTAGAGTAACCTCAAACTTGCTCTCACCTCAAAGATACTCTTGTGCGCTTGCGTCGCAACAGTTGATTTCATAGTACTTTCCAACTTTATTCGTAGAAGTAGGCTACGTTCTAAGCTTAAAGCTAACTAGCCGACAGGCCAAACAACTTTTTTTCATCGGCTGTTAATTCCAACTCAAATGTTTTGCTGAACAAACTGTTCATATCACAATGTAATTCATTATATTTTGTAGGGAAGCAACTCACTCTGCGATGGTACGGTGAAATTATTAAATTTAACTTTGGTCAGGAGAAACAGCATTCATCCGGTAAGTTTCCGAGTAAATACTCAAATCGTTGTTATTAAAAACTTTCAACATGCCACCTCGGTCTTTGTGATTGGTGCACATTTGTAACTAATTTCGAAGGTTCGTCTCTTATAACCTTGGTCAAGGCAGCTGGCAGTATTTCAGATCAGTGCCAACGACATAGCAGACTAGGTGAATTAAGTAATACCAAACAGCTAAGACATAACGCTTTGAATTGTTTTCCAACTTCAGTTCCTAGCCCATTTGCTACGGTTGCCTTGTCAATATGTAGTCGAAATTGCTCATTTTGTTGACTCTTACGTATTCAGGTAATTTTTCTCAAATTGTCTGGAAAAGCACACAACGTGCTGGATTTGGTCGACAAGTAACAGCCAATGGATGTGGAATCTACATTGCCGCCTATTATGCACCGTGTGGAAACATCGTCGGTCAATTCAGCGAAAATGTACCACCCCCAATTAACGGAGTAATGTATGTCCCAACTGATGAAGAAAAGGGATGGTGAAGTGGGCTAACTAATTGATCTGCTAGTTGCTTGCAGTGGCCCCCATGGATAGACTCACTTTTCTGCACAATTAATGTCTAGTTGTTTCTCTCGGGGGCACATTTATTTCTTTTTTTCTAACTCAGTGCACTCACTTCTGTACTTTAGTTTCCACGCTTCATTTCACATTCTGATTCTTTATCCTTTCTGGCACAATGGAACCAATATTTGTTTCGAAAGGAACATACATGTGTGGAGATTGTTCTGGTTCTCAGCTCCTTTTTCCCTCCTAGCTACCCGACTGTTTTCGTCGGCGAAAGCTGCGAAAGAAAGTTATTACTCATTGGATGTGACAAGAGACCACGACCACTTGGTTTGAAGTCTGGGTTCAGAATTCATACAATCTTGCCCGGTGATTTAATGACCTAGGTGCCAGTATTGCATACGGTGCCCCTTTTGATAGCTCTGCGCTCACAGTGAAATGCATGGTAAAACAATAGTAACAGAAACCAGATGCTTGTCTCTGGGATTTATCTTAACTCTGGCTACAATGACGGTGGCTGCCAGAAACGAACTACCCACCCGATCGAGTCAATACTTTCATTGGCTCAGGCTGAACGTCGCCGGTTGTAGACAGTGATGAGCCGCAATCTGCTCGTAACTACACTGCACCCAGGAGACTTCGAAGAGCAAGAAACAGTGTGAGCTGCAAAAGCGTTCCACAGCTGACACGGAGTAAATATTACAAAGACATTTCACTCAGATGTAAAAAGTCGGCTTAATTAACTTGCTGTCGCTCAGTTTTATGTGATGATGGGTTCCTATGGATGCTGGTGCATGTGACTGGGGTTTTCCTGCATCTAACGAGTCACAATGAGATCGTCCAGCAGACGCCGAGGTGGTCACGTTGACATTTGCAGTCCAAGTTAGTATAGAAGGCGGACCATTCTCTCAGCGTTCTTGACCGCACCATTTTTGCCTTCCCAAGCGCAACTAGATCACGCTTATGTAGTTTGCCAGGTTTCTACATAGCTTTCCACATGCAACTTCACCTAAGCGTTAAAGTTCCGCAGTGATTCTAAGAATCGAATCTTCCGAATACCTTCCTCAGAAAGCAAAGGTGCTGATTACATTAACCAGATACTTCTTTGGCCAACATTTCGCGCCCTACGTTACCCTGTCTGAGCTTACAAATCTCACTGTAACGGAGGGCACACTGCAGAATCTGTGGCTTAAAACAATGCTGATCCGTGTGCTGCTGTTATGTGTCTGTAGCTGCGATTAGTCGGGTTTACATGAAGCATGTTCTATATTGAGCACAAGTAAAACGGATAGTTATTTTATGATGATACGTAACGTCAGCTGTCTTATCAACAAGTCCTATTTGCGGAAGGTAGAAAAACTGACGTGATCACCCTTACAAGATCGTTTGCGAGGACAGGAAATGAGCATGCAGAACCTTGGGGTACGCAACAGCGGATGGGTGTTTGGTTAGACAAAGCAGTGCGCAAACTCACCATCAAATTTGCTCAAGCAGGAAGTTACTGAAACAACTTGGGCCAAATTTTCAAACGAACGAGTTACTGGGGGGCATGTAGCGGCAACTATTCGTATGTATCGCTGCATCCAGCTGAAAAGGAGGCTCACCGAGATGGAGTAGCTGAGTACAGAGGTGATCGCGGCGCATGTTCGCATTAAGATTGCTCGGTGTGCATATGTTTATGGTGGATATATTGGCTGTGGACTAAGCTATTATCATTGTAACACAAGCTATAACTGGACTAAGATGTCTCGCAATCAAAATTGGTCAAGTTAACAAGAGACGAATTCCTATACATCAGTTGTCTACTGATATAATCCACTGCATTGATCGAAATCTCCACTTGAGTCAAACATTTTTGGTGTGGTGTGGGTGGTTCCACTACTCAGTAACTTGTCTTTCGAAAATGTGTCAATTTCCATAAAGTTTCAACTCCTATGGTCAGTCTGATCCTTAGAATAACGTCTGCGTCTCAGTTGGGATAGGAATGATTGCAGACAGAATACCGCAAATGTCAGTGGAACAGATCATTTGAGCCTCATCCGATCGAATGTAGGTGTAGGCTGTTCGGGCCAAATGCGCAGCTTGCTGCATTTAAACATAACTTAGTCTGAGATGTAGTACCTATCTTCTAAAGTTCAGTTAGAAATGCAAAACCATCTAACTTTGATTGAGTTACGCTGCCATTACCCTGTTGACTGAGATATACTCCTGTTCCGGCTCGTTTTATTGTTCTCAGTATCAGGTTGGTGGAGGCATTTTGCGGGAGACAACAGAACTGTTGTCGGAGGTGAAGAACACTTGTGGCAATCTCAGTTGAGCAGATGCAGTCACTCCTACAACAGCAGCAGATGCAGGTTGAAAAATCCCAAAGGCTGTAACCGTAATGGAATCGTCGGGAGCAGCTGCACGATCTTCCGTAGACACCATTGCAGCATCGATTTCGGAGTTTGTTTTAGACGAATTGACTGGCGTCCCATTAGCATTGTAACTGCAAAGTAGGACGATGGTTTCTGTTCGCACTTGATCAAACACGATGAAGCTTGGAAGTCCTGCTTGCTAACGAGCAAACTTAGAGCAGTCGGACATGAACAGTATCCAATTGCCCTGCTCGTAGCACCAATAAAAAATGCACCAGCAACCCGAGGTATAGATATTACGATTTATAATTAATATATACAACTTTGGTTCTAGCCAAGAATCCTAGATACTTCATTTCTGGTGAGGAGGTGAAAGATCAAGATTAAAGCCAGTATAACCAGAGGGAAAAACAAGATCTGAAAACCCAAGCGAGTTAAAGTTACTAAGTGGCATGAATCTTACAAATATACAGATATAATGAACAACACTTAGTCAAAGTTAACTGTGCACAGAGGAACAAAGCAAACTGCGTCGTTCAAATATGTATGTGAGCGAATTACCACAAACAACTATGAGATTGAAGAGAACAACCCCTTCCTATAATCCTGCCAGTACGCTTTTGCTACTGAAACTTTCGTTTCTGGCACCTGACTTCCCATAACATGCACTCCTTGGGCTTGATTCGATAGGGCCAAATGCGTCTACAACTACGGTTTGACTGTTTTTACATGTTGGCTCAGTGTTGCGTTCAATTTACAAAATTCACGTTTACCGTTGGCTGGCCTACTGGCATTTAAGACGTAGCCAAAGGAAATCTGCTCGGTCATTTCTGCTGAGAGTATACTAACCTTGACCCATATATATGGTGGGCAGGAGCATTTATTCACTAACCGGTACAGTTTCTTAATTTCGGTCAGATGTGATGCGCAGCATCTCATTTAACCCACTCGTATGGTGACCCGCGAATCTTAACATCTTAAATTACGGAATATGACGGGTGAACAGTTCAAAAGCATTGCACTTTTATGCATTCTTCAGTCTCAAGCCAATTTTCGGACGCGCATTCTCTGCCATTTCAAATAGCTGATATTTCTAGATAGACTATTTGCCTGTCACATCGTATAGTTGTTTGCAAACTTGTGGAAATATCTTTTCTCTGTGAGTGCGTCACCGTGCCTCGGTGTCCACGACCAATGCTGACGCAGTTGCCTACGAATAAACTTAAGCCCTCTAACACCAACTTCAGACGTATAACTTCCGTCCGGTTGGATACAGTGCACTCCAATTTAACAAGCCTGATGGAGACCCACGCTCGTCTGATACCAATACTCGATGGTCTGTAACTATTTTAGCGTATAATTTTCGCCAATTTGTGTAGTGCCGTCCTTGAGCGAACGAAGCAAAAATGCAGTCAGCGTCTACGGAACACGTTGATAAACAGGCCAATGTGGAAAACGTTACTCGTGATCCTGCTAAGTATGTCCTGAACTTATCATATTTGTGACATGATGTTCGGTACTTGGAAACCTTAACTCTAGGTCGTGATTACAAAGTCACTCTGAAGTAGACAAACCGACCATTCATCCAGGTACACTATGAAAGTTTTTACGTCCAGTTGACAGAGCTCCAACCAACCAGCCAGGACGTTCTCAATTGGGTTAGAAGCAAACTGACTAACATGGCTCATGAGATTCTGGTGGTACCGGTAAGCGCGAAATGTGCGCTTACAAGCAGATATTTGCAAAGGTTGCGAGAGCCGAAGGACGAGGGTATCGTTGTACTGAAGCAAGACAAAGGCTCAGGCGCAATGTTCATGAGCGAAAACGACTATATTCATAAACTGTTGAGAATACTAAGCGACGAAAGCAAATTGCAACTCATCGATCGACCGGAGAACCTGTCCGAGTTAGAACCTCGCATCAGTTGCCATTTAGAACTACAATAGGTCCGGAATGTTACCATCTTTCCGCACATATGAGCCATAATCAGTACGTACTTAAGTGCATATAGGAAAGAACAGCGTCCGTAATGCTTGTCCCGCTATCCAATCGGTTAGTTATGTTAGATAGAGAAACTGCTAGCATGCCAGTGTCTACGTTTGGGAGGCACCCAATCGTGTGCGAAACCATGGATTTTGTTCAACCACTTGACGCCATGCATTGCTTTCATGGAGAGATGTTCGCAGTGAGTCCGGCCGAAGAATCGATAGCATGACATGCATGCGTGCAACTGCTACCCCAAGTTTGACGGCCAACCGCGCGTTCATGCATGTCATAGAAACACACTAACGGGTCCAGCGTAGTCCATTACTCCCACTTGATAGTTTGGGCATTCACTGCCAATTAAGATTTATTTGTGGTGATCGGTCGGAGCTATCGATTCTTCGACCGGCTCATGTGGTCTCATTGTGCACAGCTCTCGATGAAAGCCACGCATGCCAGCAAGGGGTTGAAGAAAATCCATGGTTTCGCACACGAATGGGTGCCCCCAAACGCAGGCACAGGCACACTAGCAGTTTCTCTATCCAACCTAAATAACCGAGTGGTTAGCGAGACAAGCATTACGGACTCTGTTTTTCTTGTATCTACTTAAGTACGTACTGGTCATGGCTCAAATGTGCGGAAAGATGATAACATTCCGGAGTTACTGTACTTCTGTTACATCGCGTCATCCACCACAAGATTTACAAGACTCTAAAGCCGAATGGCTCATCAACAACACAGTTGTACGGGTTGCGGAAAATGCAAAGGAAGGGATGCCACTTCGACCAGATTTATCAATGGGGACTTCCCCGCAGCATCTGAATTCCTTCGGATTCATTGATGATCTCCATTAACTTAACCTAGCCAACAAAGTCATGTGCT